AGGAAGGGGACAGACCGCGGAGAGCAGACGGGCACAGGGGCCATTCGGGGCAGACCGGGACCCCAGCGCACGGCGGCACGGAGGCCGGCCCCTCTGCCCACTAGCCGCAGCTGACCCACTCCGGCGGCCGCTCCCCTTCCTCATGGGAGGTGACCCCACAGCTAGAGCCACGTGGTCCATCACACCGCGGCTGGAATCAAGGCCCAGGAGGTGAGGAAAATGGATACTCTTATTCAGTGCTTTTAACAGACTGAGCTGATCTTTTGAAGAAATCAAGCACATCTGTCTAACTGCCCGGTCTGCACGGCAGTAAGGGCAGCAGTGGGGTAAATGAGACCCACACACTGTCCCAACGACCTGCTGTGTCTCAAGCAATCACCCCCTGACAAGTCCCATCGCGGGACAGCTAACACATATGGGAGAGGGCTAAATCCCACATCCTCCGCTGACTCCCCGCAGGAGGACGGGCCGTGGAGGCACGGCAGACCGTGCCAGGGTCGTGTGGAGACACAGCATGGGCGGCCCATCCCCTGAGAGTGACATCGAGGCAGCACGCGAGGCCCACCCTGACCTAAGACGTCGTGACAACCACTAGCCGCTGGCTGAAGTCTTGAGCTAAAATCACCGATGACCCCACTATTTTTTATAATTTGAAGACATCAACCATGCGGCTCCCAAATTCCCTAAACACAGTGAAACCTCATCGTCTTAATTCTGAATGAGAAGTGATTCTGCCTGGAGTTTGGACAAACATCACTGTCATGCACTAATAACACAACTTCACAAATTAATAAAATAAAGAAAGGCAGAGAATAGTACTTTTAAATAGGTCTTCTATATACAAAGGACATTAACCAAAAATCATCCAATCTATTCCTTTTAAAGAGCTCTGAGCAACCTAAGTGCCCATCGACAGATGAATGGATAGAGAAGATGAGGCACATTATGCACTGGAATATTACTCAGCCATAAAAGGAAACGAAATTGAGTTATCCGTAGTGAGGTGGATGGACCTAGAGTCTGTCATACAGAGTGAAGTCAGTCAGAAAGAGAAAAACAAATACCGTATGCTAACACATATATATGGAATCTCAAAAACAAAATGGTTCTGATGAACCTAGGGGCAGGACAGGAATAAAGACAGAGACATAGAGAATGGACTTGAGGACACAGGGAGGGGGAAGCTGGGGCAAAGTCCGGGAGTGGCATGGACATATATACACCACCGAATGTAAAATGGATAGCTAGTGGGAAGCAGCCGCATAGCACAGGGAGATCACCTCGGTGCTTTGTGACCACCTAGAGGGGTGGGATAGGGAGGGTGGGAGGGAGACAAAAGAGGGAGGAGATATGGGGATATATGTATATGTATAGCTGATTCACTTTGTTGTACAACAGAAACTAACACAGCATTGTGAAGCAATTATACTCCAATAAAGATATATTAAAAAATTAAATTAAATTAAATTAATCAATTTAAAGTGAAAAAAAATAAAATAAAGAGCTCTGGCAATCTGGTGAGCACACTTTTCCTAGCACACGGGTGCCGGGTTCAAGCCAGGGCCCGAGGCCCTGCTCGCCAACCAGGGGACGGGGCTGAGGCGGGGGCACTTTCACTGCACCTTATCCACATCTGACTGCTGTGCTGTTTACCACACACGCCTCTTTTGTGATAAAATTATAACTGCATTTTACTTTAAGACATAATGTGGGGTTACTGAAGGAGCAGCCCTCTATCTGTTAGTATGAAATAGAGATTTCACTGAATGTGTCTTTCAACCACGCCACGTGTCTGTAAGCTCACGCTGCTTTTCCTTGTTAAAAAACTGAGCCAGATGTTTCTAAACACAGCCCTGTAGAAGCAGAGGGTGTAGGAGAAGCCGCTCTGGTTCTCTGCACTGCTGTCCTAACTTCTCACAGGTGCTGCTGTTTATCTCTGTGACTCTGCAAACTGCAGACCAAACAAGCAAATCCAAGAACCAGCCATCACCCATGACTGACTCTGTGGTTTCCCAGACCCCATCCAGCAAACTTTAAAATTTAGGTGACTTAAACGATAGGCACCAAAGTGCTTCATCACGAGTAGAAAATATTCGCCACAGGAATTGTGCACTTTCCCTCCGTGCACGATAGGTCCACGGGTCTACGGAGGAAGAGGCCTCATGTGGCAGCGATCCCAGTTAAACAATGTGATTCTTCAAGGGAAAACGTCATGCCTTTATGCATTTGTGGGGGGTTGAACAGTGACTCCCAGAAATGATACATCTACATCCTCACCCCCAGAACCTACAAACGTGGCCTTTCTTGGAAACAGTATCTTTCCAAACGTAATCAAATTAAGATGAGGTCATGCTAGGTTAGGGTGGCCCTAAATCCAATGAGACTGCCCTTATAAGAGACAGAAAAGGAGAGACACAGACACGGAGGAGAGGCCACGTGAAGACGGAGGCAGATACTAGAGGGAAGCAGCCACGAGGCAAGGGACGCCTGGGGCCCCCAGGAGCTGAAAGAGGCAAGAGGGACCCTCCCCCAGAGCCTCTGCAGGGAACTCAGCCCTGATGACAAACTGATTTCAAACTTCTGGCCTCCAGGACTGTGAGAGAGTAAATTTCTGTTGTTTTAAGTGCTCCCCGCTCCACCCCACATTGTGACAAATTGTTATGGCAGCCCCACATAAGATACAAACAAAAACATACATTAATGTTTTTACCTTTATAGAAGGGTCCTGGCAATTGATCTCTAGTCGCTGACGTTTCAAAGCTGGTTCATCTTCATCTGTCACTACATGATTCTCCAGTACAACTGAAAATTAAAGGCAGAGACAAAAAAATTTTAATTCAAAAAGTTTTACAGGGGCTTCCCTGGTGGCGCAGTGGTTGAGAGTCCGCCTGCCGATGCAGGGGACACGGGATCGTGCCCCGGTCCGGGAAGATCCCACATGCCGTGGAGTGGCTGGGCCCGTGACCCATGGCCGCTGAGCCTGCGCGTCCGGAGCCTGTGCTCCGCAACGGGAGAGGCCACAACAATGAGAGACCCGCGTACCGCAAAAAAAAAAAAAAAAAAAAAAAAAAAAAAAAAAAGAAAAGTTTTACAGAGCTGTTTAATATTAAGATAGTAAACAGTTCTGACACCTTAAGTATAAAGGTGTCACCTTAAGGTGAAATGAGAAATGGTACAACCTGCTTCATATTTTACTTTTTACAGATTTAACTTAAAATTCTCAGTCAGGCAGAAAATAGGATCTCTCCCTAATCTCAAGAAAAACTGAGATACCGGATAAATTTTTTCACTAATGCGCCACTGAGTTGACACCAACACCAAGACTGCAGGCTTCTCACTCAATGCTCTATCCGGCTACCCTTTTCTGATAGAATCCAATCGCTAATAATGATTTCTTCCCGACTTTAAAATAAAGTCTTGTCAGCCGGCCACCTCATTCCAAAATCAAAGCCACTCTCTGAATATTACATTTTCTGAGGTGCTAATCATCAAACTTGTCTCAAACGTAACACGCTAAGTTATAGGGAAAGCTGTTCCCCTGGCCAGTGTGGCTAAAATCAAGGCCTCCCACCAGCACCTTCCAAGGGGTCTTCAGGGCTTCTCCACGGATGAGCAACTCGGCCCAAGTTCAAGGCCGGCACCACATGGTCCCAAGCCTGGTGCCTTTACACCTGTAGGTGCCAAGTGATTCGTCTCAAAACTCTAAAATGTAAAGACACTGAACAGACCTGCGACTCTAACGTGAACCTTTCAGGGGTCCCAGGCGATACCAGTAAGCTGGTTTCCAGAGCTAAGTTGTCACCCAAAGCTCTATCTCACAGAAACAAGCCACGGGCCAACGATGCCAGAAGCATTCTGCTTACCAGAGGGCTCTGCATAGTACACTGTGTCTCCACACCTCAAACACCTCCATAAAATATGTGGGAATTAATTGTCATTAAGGTAAAAAAGGAAAAATCCGTGGCTACAAGTGCAAAACACAGGTTCTCAGAACCTTCATCGAAGCCTACCTATTCCCACTGGACGCTGGTAATTAAGAAAGGACTGGGAGGACGGGGAGACTCCGGCAACTGCTAGTCTAATCCTTTTAACTTGCTGAAATCCAGTCCAGAGAGGTTAAGCGACTTGACCAGGGTCACACAGCTGGCTTCCTGTAACTACAGGAAGAAGACTCCAAGCCCTTGGCAGAGCGAAGCACCTCAAGGCTGTAAGCAAAGGGCAGCAGAGCAGATGAGGGAAAGGAGACACAGCCCGTGGCGGTGACAGGGGCACACACCTGGGTTCCGGCGCTCACTTTCTACGGGCCGCAGGGCTGCTAGTTTACTTTCCTCTTGGTCCTTTTTTACTTTTTTTTTTTTTATCATTCTGCATGCATTACTTTTAAAATTAGACAAAAGAACTCAGTGCTCATTTTACAGCCATCACGATCACCTGCAATGACAGGCCTGATGAAATTTACAATCGTACGTGTGTGCAGATGGGCAGAGACTGCAGCCATGTGGTGAGTGCGTGCAAAGTCACAAGAACCTAAGCATTTTGATTTTAAATGGAAATCAGAAAAAAACGGAAGGACATACACGCCAACAATCTAAAAGCAGTTCTATCACTAGGATTATGGGAACCTTTTATTTCTTCTACTTGCTTGACTATACGTTTAAGTTTTACAGAGTTCACATTTTAGAAACAAGGAAAAAATCATCTCAATCTTAAACCCACTCAGGACAATCGTGTGGGATGCAGCACAGTGCTTGCCGGTGTTGGGGGAGTCCTCTGGGGCCAGAGATGGCAGGCCTCCTGTCTACGGAGGCCTCAGGGAGCCCTGCACACGGTAGGTGTTCACTACACAGCCATAGCTATTCTTCCCGGTTAGTTAAGGAACCCACGTGGAACAACCCCAGGATCAGAAGTGACTTCTCTAACCCTTCCTCGGACTGTAATCTACAGAGAGAGAATTTAATTGGGAAGTAAACTGTCAGAATTTTAATAGTTCTAAAAATGCTTAACATTTACATAACTGGAACATTTTTCTTTTACAGCACTGCAGTGTGAGTGTTTTCTAAAGAAACGGTCATCCACCCACCAAACTATGAACAGCTGTTTTTAAAATTGCGATGTACAGTGACAGTGCTGCTTTTTTTTTAGTTCACTGGTTTCTGAGGTGTGGTGCTAAATGAGGTCAAGCCTTCACATTCTCGCTCTAAACAAACTGGTTCACTTTCACAGAGAAAACTGGGGTTAAACAGCTACATTCAGACACCCTGGCTCGGCTCCAGGATCTGGCAGGTATTGATCTTGCCAGTTACCAGGTGGTAGTGCTCCTTATAAACAAATCAGAGGCAAAATGACAACAAGTGACCAAAGAATAGCATTCGTGAAAGGGTGCCCCAATCTCTTTGTGACTGCTTGTTCAATCCCAAAATCATGTGCTACCCACCCTTCCATACATAACTAATTTCCCAGTGAAGCTTTTTCAACTAACAGAGCGAAGAGATCATACAAGATAGATACCGTCATACTTTCTTATGAGATTTCTGAAAATTCTCTTTTCTGTGGGGGAAAAAGTTAGCATTTCAACCCTACTATTCCAGAAAGAATAACCAGACAACCAAAACACTATGTGATTTAATTGTGTATGCTTGTTATTTCAAACTTAACAGAAATATAAAACACATAAAACTTTATGAAAAAAAAAAAGGAGGACCCTTACTAAGAAATCTTTGTATAAAATAAAGTGCTAACAAAGCATTTCACAGGTAAAGTAGTTCAAGATGAAGTTCTTGAAATGTAGGGTTTCCCTTATAACGTGTCTAATATCTAGTTAAGGTTCCAAAGTAGATGGGTGCCTTTAACGTGACTAAGGAAAATTACCAGCCCTGGCAAAAGGGCAGGAAAGTCACCTCACAGAATAATCGGGTAAAGCGTGTCTTACCAAAACTCTGAACACACACAGCAGTTCAGCTTCTGGGAACTTACCCTACAAAAATATTTGCTGCAATATGCAGCAATGACCTTTGTAGCGGGGTGTACTTAAAAGAAAAACAGTGTTAACGATGTTAACAGCGTCCCCAGGGAAGAGGTGGATGAAGGAGGGTGCAGAGTGCATGGAACACCTCGCAGGTGTCCACGTGCAGGGCAGAATGTCCACAGCAGCGGAAGAGGCCCAGATGTGACCACAGGGAGCTTTAAAGGGGAGTCAGGGGAGCTGGGGGCAGGGCAGGAAGAGGGGCCGAGGCTGGACAGCCACGTGTGGTGCAGAGGTGGCGAGGGGAGGCGGAGGGACCACTGGGATTGGCATGGGGCTGACAGAGCTCACGGGCTCTGGTCCGGGTTTTTCATACAGGGCACGCACCGCTTTTTCTCTTGCTTTACTGAAGGGAGAGGAAAGTTGTGCAAGCGCTTTGGGGCTTTTACAGACTCGGGGGGAGCGCCGGCTCCCCACTGCCCGCGCTCTGTACCTGGGTGGTCAGGGCTCAGCTCCTCCACGGCGATCTGCACCACATCCGCCAGGTCCTGTTCTGACATCATCCAGGACGAGAGGAGAGGGGCCGGTCAATGGGCAGGAATCAGACTCACAAGCACGGGGTTTCTGTCACCTAAAACAAAAGCCAGGGTAACGGAGAGGGAGATGAACGATCCTGACCTTGAAATGCTGGAGACTGCTAGCCACGTTCTGTATCCAAGAGGACACCAGAAGCCTGTGGGTTTTTAAATATAGGGTTCTTCTTGCCCCAAATCACCAAAAGGTTAGTGTCCTTTGAGAACTGAGAAATGGCTCCCAAACATTTCTCGATGCCTCTGTCCCTCAGCACCAGACTAGTCCCCACCTCGCCAGTCCATTCCCACACCGCCTCCTAAGTCACCTTCCTAAGACAGCTAGAACGCATCACCCCAAGCCAGACGTCCCCGGGTCCGCTTCTTGCCCACGGAACACGTCCTGTCCCTCGCCTGCCCCTGCCAGCTCTCAGACCCACTAGACACACCACACCCCGGAGAGCATCGAAAACATACCTCCCGAATTTTACCCAAATGGACCCTTCCACCAAGGCTGTCCCCTCGCCCCGTTTCCACTCCTTGCAGCGCCCTCCCCTCAGGCAGGCAGAGAGCGGCAGCTCCTAGGACTGAGCCCAGCACGAGCCCCCTGCCCCAGCCCGGGGCCTGTCTGCCACCATCCTGCCGCCACCGAGATGGCACCACATCTGCAACACAGTGCGTTCCTTTCTTCCTGATCCTCAAACGCTCTGATTAGGCCTAGACACACCTTCTCCAAGACAGAAATGAGGTCACGTCACTCCAAATACGACCCATCAACACAGTGGTCTAAATGCAGTACTTGCAAACAGGGTGCCTGGAGATCAGGAATCAATGCCACCGTAATACTTTTATCATTCTACACTTTATATTTTAATTACCTATAAACAAGTAATTACGAAAGAAGTAATCTATCTTCCCCAACTGGACTACACGTTCCCTGAGAGCAGACAGCGGGCACCCAACTCCACAGCACAGCGCCTGCCCCGTGCGTGCCCACCCCCACCGTGCCCATGCAAGGCAGTTGAATTAAGAGTTTCAGATCACCTAGTCTCAACCAGGAGTCTACTGACAGCTCCTTTAAATGGCTAAGTTCCAAAGGCATACAATTAAATTTGCAGGTTCCACACATGTTTGTAAATCCTATAAATCCAGATTTAAATTCTACAGCTTAAACGGCAGCAGCTCCAGGATTTCTTAGGGACAACCATTTGCAGGAGGAGCCAAGCTCCTGCCTTAAATTTCCCTTCACAAAACGGACGCAACACCTTCATGTAGGTGCAATCCATCAAATGGCCAAGGTGTGTTACCGCCATTTAGACACCTCACGCAAGACTGAGGAAAGCACAAAAGCACCAAACGTCCCTTCCAGAGCAGACGCCGATGACAAACAACTGGGGCAGGGGCCCGCAGAGGTACTGCCGTGAACCCTTTAGAAGTCCATCTAGGGAGGGATGGCAGTGACAGAGATTTTTAACCTCTCAAATGAGGACAGCGAACCCAGGTCAAGGTCTGTAACAAGCTGAGAGATCGGGTGTTTCCTGAAGAGCCCCAAAGCATGAGCGAGTGGGCAAACCACTGACAGCACAAGGTCCTCAAGGGAGCAGCAAGGAGGAAGCAGGGGTCAGAGAGAAGGAGAAAATGGGTCTGCTTGGGAACCGTGGCTGAACCCAGGAGGTGAGCACCACTGGGGGCAGACAAACGCCAGGGCAGCTGCGGAACGGCCACAGGCCAACATTCTGGGCCACAGACGCTCAAAGACTACTCATCCAAAGCTCCCTCCTGCGCTAAATACACTGGAAAGATATGCCTAGAATAGAATACTAAGCATACAGGACAGGGAGAATGAGAGTCTAATTACAGGAGGGAGAGGAAAACAGCCAGGAGAGCACAAGAAAACAGCTACCACGTTTTTCACAACTTTCTAAAAACAACAGAAAATAGAGCTCTAGGACACGGAAATTAGAAAAACTATTCTAAATCTGGCCTTCCTTCCATATATCCAGGAAAATCAATTCCACAGAAAATTAACAAAAGAAAATATTGAGGTCAAATCTCATGCCAAGGTGATATATTTTAAAAGTGAATAGGAGCAAAGTAGCATCACTACAGTTAAAGCATGCTAGAAAGACATGTCCCTAAGAGATGAAAACTCCATCCTAATATTTCAAAACAAACTAATATTCATGGAAGAAATTATATAAAGTATCACTAACCATAAACCAGCATTAGAAAAACTCAGAAATGAGGGGGGAAAACTCAGAAAAGATTAGAAATAAAAGGAAAACAATTTTGGAAATGAAGGCTAAACTAGAAGGAACCCAAGAGCAAGTAAATACAATAAATTACACCATAAGAAAAACAAAACGGGGGCTTCCCTGGTGGCGCAGTGGTTAAGAATCGCCTGCCAATTCAGAGGACGCAGGTTCAAGCTCTGGTCCGGGAAGATCCCACATGCCGTGGAGCAACTAAGCCCGTGCGCCACAACTACTGAGCCTGCGCTCTAGAGCCTGTGAGCCACAACTACTGAAGCCCGCGTGCCTAGAGCCCGTGCTCCGCAACAAGAGAAGCCACCGCAATGAGAAGCCTGCGCACCGCAACAAAGAGCAGCCCCTGCTCGCCGCAACTAGAGAAAGCCCACATGCAGCAACGAAGACCCAATGCAGCCAAAAATAAATAAAATAAAATAAATAAATTTATTTAAAAAAAAAAAGAAATGAAAGAAAAATGTTGAAGAAAAAGTAGCTGACAAGCAAAGAGGATGCAACATATGTTTAATAGGGGACTCTACAAAGAAAACCAAAGGAAAGCGATGAAATGGACTACTACAAGCAAATCCGAAAAAACTCTTCAGAAATGAGGAGAAAACATTTGAAACTACTTATGAAAAAGACACACCATAAACCTGGGGCAGGGCAGGCAGAACAACCAATACCAAGACACATTCTAGTAAAATTATTTAAAGAAAAAAAGAAAAGTTATTTTAGACATCTAGACAAAAATGCTGGACACCTTAAAATGGTGGGGGGCGGGGCAGATTATCCAACTACAGCAGAAGAAGGGAGACTCACACACACAAGACACTCGAGGAAAGTAACGAGCCTTTACATCCAGACAAAGTGAGCTTCAGGTACACAGGTAGCAATTTGTGCCAACATACAGCACTCAGAGAACAGCGCTCCCAGAAACCCTTCCTGAATAAACTGCTGGAACACAAGATTCAGAAAACCAAGATCACTTGGAGAGACAACATATGAACTGGTCAGTGGTGAGCAGTCTACGTTTACATGGAGAACCGAGACTAAAGGAGAAAGCACAGTTTGCAACGGCTCTATGCTCTGACAATGGAGATACAATTTACCTGCTTAAAAACGGGAAGAAAAATCGGGAGAATACACACAAAACAAATTTTAACAATTTTAGCAATCACACTGCGTGGTGGTGCTGGAATTCCCTCTGAGAATTTTCCACGTGCAAATGAGGAGCTACAGGACATTCCAATTCTGTCACCCCCGATGTCCTGACAAGCAGACCCAGAGGTCGGGCAGAAGAGGTCTCGGGGCTGCAGATGTGACTCCGGGCATGTACTGGAACTGGAGGTATGAACTCAGGCGTGTGTGCAGAATCCAGGAGCTGAATCCAGTAGCAGCGTGCCTCCCTACAGCCTACACTGTGAAATACCACCTCTCACCAAGAGATGAGGGCTTCTTGGAAAAATGGCTAGCTCCACATCTGAGGCAAGGAATATGCAAGATAACATCTTGTCACCCCAGATGTAGGGAAGCGATCAAAGACATCAGGGCTGTACCAAAAGGACTCAGAAACCAACTCAAAGATGCTCCTCCTGGCCAAAGGTGGGAAAAAATGACCCTCAACAAGGATAACCACATCCATGGGCTGAAAGAGAAATATTTTTAAATTCATTAAATGGTGGGGGCGGGGGGGGGGGGTCAAAAAGGCCCCTATAAATTAAAGGAGACTTCAATGACAACAAACAGGCAAAACTATGATTTTCTCTATTTGTATTATATTTAATAAAAAGGTTTTTATTAAGGCAAAATTCAAACAAAGTGGAAAACACTTGTTACACATGCACCAAAGAGCTAATTTCCTTCTTTCACAGCAACAGAAAAAAGACCAATAAAGCAAATCAAAAGGAGCATAAGAATGAGAGTAAACTCACAGGGAAAAAAGTCACAAAGCTTTTAAACATGAGAAGACACAACCTCTCACGTATTTTTTAAAATGCAAATTTCAACCAGCCGCTCAGTGTGACAGGCATGCTGGAGGCCTGTCAGGACGTGGGTGCTCTTGTGCATGTTTGATGGGAGCTTAGCTCTGAAGACCAATAGGCAACAGGCATCAAAGTGCTGCTGCCCAGCCCTGACCTTCCCACCAAGGAAACCTCCTAGCACAGAGTCACATGTTTGTGCAAATATCTACCCACCAGAGAAACAGAACAACCAAGGCGTTGCTTTTAGCAGCAAAAGAATGGATGATGCAACCTGAATGCTGTTTTAAAAAAACAAGTCTGTCACAGCTGAACAACGAGAGACTAGGCAACGGTCTAGAACAGGGGTCCCCAACCCCTGGGCCACGGACTGGTACCTGTCCGTGGCCTGTCAGGAACCAGGCCGCACAGCAGGAGGTAAGTCGCGGGCGAGCGAGTGAAGCTTCACCTGCCGCTCCCCGTGGCTCCCCATCACACACATTACTGCCTGAGCCATTCCCCCCACCAACTGTGGAAAAATTTGTCTTCCACAAAACCGGTCCCTGGTGCCGAAAAGCTTGGGGACTGCTGGTCTAGAAGAACCAGTCAGAGCTCTCTAAGGAACAACTCCCGAGAGGCAGTGTTACACGAACAAAAACGGGGCAGAATGTGTACAACACACTTTAAAAAAAAAAAAATGCTAGACACACACGGACTATCCCTGGGGCACAAAGATGAAAGGAAATTATATTTGCCTTTTTTTTATCATGTACATTTATCAGCTTTTCAAAAGTAAAAATACTTTTTAAAAATGGTCAGACAACTAAATATTGAGGCGTCCACCGTGAGGAAATCC